GGCGGATCGTCTCCTGTGGTGGTAGAAGCTCCAGCTGGGGTTCCCGCACACAAGGCCCTGAGGCCCCTGCAGGTTGTGGGCCAGGCTGGTGCCTCCTGCCCCCCAGGCCTCTGCCCACTGCGGGTTGGATCGATGGGTCGTCGGCCCATTAGCGGGGGAGGCTAGGCTGCCTCATCAATGTTTTAAGGAATGACCTGGCCATGGGGTCCGGAACTGCGTGTGGCAGGGGCTGATGATTGGCCTTCTTTTTTGTATTCCAGTTGTGATTGCTATTTTTACCACCGGAAGGCCAGCCGCCCCCTCTCCCAGGCCTCTAACCGGGTGTGTGTGTGTGGGGGGGGGGTCTTCCATCTGGGTTCCTGGCGGCGGGGTTAGGAGAATCCTCAGCTTGGAAAGGTGACAGGCAAGGACTTGATTAGGCTTCCCCCATCCCGCCTCCCGGACGCTCCCTCCCATCATGCGCCGGCCCTGGTGAAATGGGAACAACAACAAAAAAAACAGGAGCCAGGCAGGCCAGCGGAGCCTCGAAACCGGCAGGGTGATGCATCAGGGAAGGGCGGTCTGTCCGGGTGGGCACCCTTTGTCTCCCGCCCCCATCCTCACAGAAGAAGCCTGAAGATGAGAGACAACCCCTGCCCATCCCTGGTCCCAGGGGGGTGACAGTGGGGCCCCAGTCGTCAGCGTCCAAGGGCCATGACAGCCCCAGGCCTTGGAGGCCACTGCTCAGCACCCCATTTCACTGATGGGGAGCCAAGGCCTGAGGAGACACAGGGCCTGGCCTGAGACGGCGAGCCCACTGTTGCCCAGTCCAGCGCCCTCCCGCACTGACTCAGCAGGTCTCTTCTGGCTCCCCGGGACCATAGGCGGAGGAACAGAGACCCTGCCCACAGAAGCAAGAGGGCCAAGGACCACTGGGGCCATGGGAGCTCAGGGAGGGAGGGCCAGTGTAGGGGGAAGCCTTCCTGGAAGAAAAGGTTTTACGCAGTCTAAATGCCAAGGAGAATTTGAGTAGTCGGTAGAGTGAGGACGGCCATCCAGGCAGGGGCAAAGACCCAGGGGGATCCCCAGGGGGCCGCTGGAGGAGGGAGAGCCCAGGGCCAGCTGGATTCATCCATGAACCTTCCAGGCCAACCAGACGGCAGGGGCCGGGGTGAATTCGGCCACCCTGCCCCTGGTACCACTGGGATCCCCTCCCCACTGAGGTTCTGCTCTTCCCACATCTGGGTCTGGTCACCTGCAGAATGGGGGAGGGTCCTGTCTCATTAATTGGGTGAGACACCGGCTGGTCCCTAGAGAGGGCTGGAAAAGCCTCCTGGCTTCAGCACCCAGAGGTTGGCGGGGGGGTCCCGGCTCTGCCCGTGGCCACACATGGATTATAACAGTGCACCATCTGCCTCCTGTGTTGTCCTTCCAGGGAGGGGTAGCCCTCCTCGCTATTTTAAAGTGAGGAGACAGGCTCAGAGGTGGGAGTTGTGGTCGGCGTCACTCACCCACAGGGTAGTGGGGCTGTCGGGCCTTGAACCCAGGTCAGCCAAGATCCCTGCACTTGGTCTCATCCCCAGTTTTGGCTCCAAGGGCAGTTGGGTTGGGGCTGAGCCCTCTTCTGTGGCTGGCAGCCTCCCCTTCACAGAAAGCCACGTCTGGGCCTCCATCTCCCCATCTGTAACTAGTGTGGGGCTCCCTGCTGGCCCTGCTGCTTGTAACTTTGACCTCTGGAGGCTCAACCCCTGTCCTTTCCATGTAGCCCCAGCTAGACCCAGGGGACACTGAGGGCTGCTGGGCTTCGGGCCTACTAGGTTCCTGGCCAGCCAGCAAGGGTGGGTAGGGGAGGTCAAGGCAGGCCTAACCTCCCAGTGCCTCCCAGGCCAGTCCCTACCCAGGGCATGGCCACAGCCACCATATCCGTGGCAAGTTCTCTGAGTCCCACCCCTAGCTCCAGTGAGGACTAGCTGGGACACAGGCTGTGAGAGTCTCCCCCCAGGGCCCTGTCCCTCCGCTCTGCTCCTTCATCCCGCAGGAAGAATGGGGAGGACCAGGGATTGATGTGCAAAGATGCCCACTGGGACTGCTTTCCTCCCCCCGCCCCCCCCCCCGCCCCTCCGCCCAGCCCCAGGTGGGGCAGATGGGTGTTCACACTGGGAGCTGGCTTCCCAGGCTGCTGTGTCACCCAGTCTGAGCCTCCTGGCAGAACGGGGAGGAAAGGCCACTGTGGGGAGCACAGCCCTGCTGGCTGAGTGGGTGGGCTTGGAGCACAGGAACAGAGCCTCACAGGCTTAGCTGCAGGGCTTTCTCCCCACCCCCACCCCCAAAATGTGCCCCCTCAGCAAGTCAGGACAAGGCCTTGGCTCTCCACCTTCCCTAGAGGCTCGGTGGTGGTGGTGGTGGTGGCAGGTGCCTTCCCACCTCCACCCTCATTCCTGGCATATGCCTCGTGCCTGCCTTCTGCCCCCAAGGAGTGGCTATACCAGATGGGGAGACAGACATGGGAACAGACAGCTGGAGCACCCGGTAATTGGCACCTTGCTAGAGGGGCTTCTGGGAGGGGACTGTTGGAGCTTGGAGGAGACACTCGTGCCACATGGTGGGGGGAGGCAGGGGGGAGGTCAGGGAAGGCTTCCTGGAGGAAGTGGCCCCTGGATTCATTATTGAAGGACGAGTAGGAGTTAGCCAGATGAAGAAAGGAAGACGAGCAGGCCCCATTCTCCCCCATCCCACCCACTATGCGCTGAAAGTCTGCCTCCCAGTTACTGTTCATCCCTGCGGTAAGGTCAGTCTTCGTCCGCTTCCCTCTTCACTGTCGTAAAGGCCAACGCAGAGCCCCCCTTCTCCAGGAAACCTTCCTAACTCCCAGCTACCCTCTTTCTCAGGCCCGGATAGGAGTCTCCGAGCAGCCCTGCCGGTTGGGAAAACTGTCCTCTGTGCTAAGTAGCCTCATCAAGTGGCCCGTTTCCTCCCTGGGGCTGTCCTGTGGTTATTGACTGCAGGTCGATGGCCGAGGTTGCCCCGAGGTGAGCGGGAATTCCCACGGTGCCGTATGGCCCAGAGGCCCCACAGATGATCTCGTAGAAGTGGGGCAGCTATTTTTTACCAGGCATTTAATTACAGAGTTTGGATCCCAGAGGAGAGATGAGCTGGTGCTCCCAGGAGCTCTGAGGGAAGGGCCATGCTGGGAAATGTGGGGATCCTGGGAGGACAGGTGAGGGCATGACCTGTCTCAGTTCCCCTAACACCAGGCTGACCCCCTCAGACAGGGGCTCCCCAAGGCAGGGCAGGACCTCATCACCCCACTTCCTCCCCACTGGTAATTTTCACACCCTAGCCTAGGGGCAGGGGTGGAATATATAAACACAGCGGGCTGGACCTGTGCCCCCAGGAGCGGTAGCCACCTTGGGGGACAAGGAGGCAAGGCCCCCAAATGCCTGGGCACACCAGTAGTTTGGCGAGCCAGAGTAATATAGGCTGGATGGGCCTGGGAACAGGAGCGAGCTGGAGTCCCTACATCGGACCTCTTCAGGAAGGCCAGGTTTGGATGGGAGCTCGGAGGGAACAGCATTCCAGAAGGTGGGAAGAGGGCAGACCATGGGGACCGAAAGAGGTGAGAATTCAGTGCCAGTATGAAAAACAGGTCCTACTTGATCCACCCTGGAAGGTGAGCCCCGGGGTTCTGGAGTCAGGGGGAGGATCCCAGGCCCGTCACCAACGAGCTGCGTGTTCCCCGGGCCCCATGTGAGGGCTTAGGCAGTGACAGCTGTGACATGCCTGACACATCCATTTGTTCATTCAGTGTTTTATTATTATTTTTTGGTAATCTCTGTACCCAACATGGGGCTTGAACTCACAACCCTGAGATCGAGAGTCGCACGCTCTACCGGCTGAGCCAGCCAGGCGCCCCCATTCATTCAGTGTTTCCCGTGCCTAGCATGTGCCCAGCACTGGGGACATAGCCACTTAAGACATTGCATTCTCAGGGGAAGGGTGTGGTGGGGAGTGGGGGATAGGACAACACAACCAAGCAAGGGAACAAATGGTATGTCAGATGGGGATGAGCACCACAGAGAAAAGTAAGCAAGCCCAGGGCATGCAGACAGCAGCGCTGGGTGGAACAGGAGCATTCCTTACGCTCAGTAGAGTGGGGGCCAGGGAAGGCTATTGGACAAGATGGTAGATGAGCAAAAACCTGAAGGAGGTGAGGGAGTGTGGGGGAAAGAATGTTCTGGGCAAGTGCAAGAGAGAATTGCAGGTGCAAAGGCCCTGGGGCGGGCCCCAGCAGCAGCCAGAGCAGAGTGGGTGGGAAGAGTGGCGGGAGATAGGCTCAGGGAGGTAAGTGGAGGCAGATCATGTGACAGCCTGGGGGTTATGGGTGGGACTTCTACTTTTACTCTGAGTGGAATGGGAGCCAATGCAGGATTATGAGCAAAGGAGGGACCTAATCTGTCTTGTTTTAGGAGTGATGACTCTGTTCCTGGGTGGAGAACAGACTGGGGCAGGGGGGTGGGAGGTGGGGTGGGGAATGAGTTGAAGTTCTGGGGGACCAGTGAAGAGGCTGCTAAAGTATGGCAGGGGAGAGAAGAGGTCATGTGGGCCCCTGGAGGGCAGCCCGGATGATGAGTGGAGGAAAGGTTGGGTTCTTGGCATATCTCAAAGGCAGAGCCGGGAGGAATGCACACTTCTTCCTGTCCACCCACCTTTGGGGGCCCTCAGAAGAGGTCAGCTTGGGAAGCTAGGTAACAGGAGGCTCGTGGGGACCCCAAATCAAGGCACCTGGGACCGCAGCCTCCGCCAGCCCCAGAAATGACCTTGAGAATGCCCTTTGAAAAGTGTGACGGGGGGAGGGGACCCCCTCCTGCAGACGCTGCCGTCCTTCTCTGCTCTGAATGGCTGCATGATGTCGCCCCCCCACCCCAACACACACACAGCCCCAGGGAGCCCCGGGGGGAAGAGGGGCCGGGTGGGCGCTGAGGTCCCAGAGTCACCCCGCGCTCTTGTCGCCCACAGCCGCAGGGGGCTGCGATGGGACGGGAGCCATGAATGGTCCCGCCCCCGGCCCCGCCGCCGCCCCCGCCCCGGTCCCCGACTGGCGGCAGTTCTGCGAGCTGCACGCGCAGGCGGCCGCCGTGGACTTCGCGCACAAGTTCTGCCGCTTTCTGCGGGACAACCCGGCCTACGACACGCCTGACGCCGGGGCCTCCTTCTCCCGCCACTTCGCCGCCAACTTCCTGGACGTCTTCGGCGAGGAGGTGCGCCGCGTGCTGGTGGCCGGGCCCGCGCCGCGGGGGGCAGCTGAGCCCCCCGACGCCATGGAGCCCGAGCCGGCGGGGCCCGCGGCGATCAAGGCAGCCGCCTACGGCCACTCGCGGAGCTCGGAGGACGTGTCGACGCAGGCGGCGGCCAAGGCCCGCGTCCGCAAGGGCTTCTCGCTGCGCAACATGAGCCTGTGCGTGGTAGACGGTGTGCGCGACATGTGGCACCGGCGCGCCTCGCCCGAGCCCGACGCGGGCGCCGCCCCGCGGGCCGCCGAGCCCCCTGCCGAGCCGCGCGACAAGTGGACGCGGCGCCTGCGGCTGTCGCGGACGCTGGCGGCCAAGGTGGAGCTGGTGGATATCCAGCGCGAGGGCGCGCTGCGCTTCATGGTGGCCGACGACGCGGCCGCGGGCCCGGGCGGCACGGCCCAATGGCAGAAGTGTCGCCTGCTCCTGCGCAGGGCGGTGGCCGGCGAGCGCTTCCGGCTCGAGTTCTTCGTGCCGCCCAAGGTGAGCGCCCGGCCCAGCGTGGGGGGCCGCTGAGGGTGCCAGGAGCTGGCTTCCGGGGCCACACCGCCCGGCGGCCTGCCCCCCACCCCCCATCCTTCATCCGGGCCTCCTGGGTGGCTGGAGCCTCCCAAACAGGGAGGGCGCCTGAAATGTGTTGGTCCCCGGTGCGGCTCCCAGGCTGCAGCCCAGCGCCTGGTGGGTGGCCCTTATCTGACCCAGGTTTTGAAAGCTAAGCTTCTAGCTGTCTCCAGCACTGCTGCTCACCTAAGTGCACCATGCCCCCTCCCCAGCTTGGGGGCTCACCATCGGAGCCCTGGGGGCGGCTATGGGCCTCCTCCCAGGTGGCACACCTGCCCTATTGGGAAGGTGGGAATAATTGTAACAATAGTGCCCATTTTTTGAGGGCACACGGCATGCCGAGCCCTAAGCCTGGTGCATAATCTCATCCCCCCAGGCCCCCCACAGGGTGGGCATCATGATCCCCGGGTCACCAAAGAGAGAACAAAGGAATACTCAGAGAGGAGGTGTGGCCTGCCCAGAGTCACAGAGCTGGTGGGTGGCAGAGCCAGGCTAATTATACCCACCACCCTGGTGGTCCTGAGAATGGAGGAGCGTGGAGGTGGGAGCTACTTGTGTGCTGGGAGGTTCGGAAAGGTGGGAGGTTGTGCTGGTGCAGCAGTTGGCAGCACCCCAAGAACCACCCAGCCCTCCCTCTCCTCCACTCCAGGCCCTCCCTACTCCCCGGCACCTTTAGTCACCCTGAGCCTCTCGCCTCTCTCCATCTCCCAGACTGTCAGACTCTGGGTGCACCTCCTTGCCTCTCTCTGCTGGAGGGGCAGGGTGTGGGCTCCCCAAGGCTGGGTGCCCACGAGCTGCATGGACTCTGGAGAGATGATTTCCCCGGGACACACTTATTGCCTTGAGTCATAGGACCCTGACTTCCCAAGGGGTTTTTGCCTGCCAGGCCCCCACCAATAGGCCCCTGAGAGAAACCCTAGACCACTAAGTCCAGCTCCACCTCTCGTCAAGCAGAGACCAAGGCCCGGGGAGTGGGGCAGGCGGGGTGGGGCTAGCCCAGAGTCGCCCAAAGGGCAAGGACAGAGGCCCAGGGCTCAATGCCTCTGGGCCTGAGTGGCAGTTACAGCTGCCCGGCTGTAAATAGCGTCCGCTGCCCTTGGGGGAGGGGGTGCAGCAGCTGGGACCTCTCTTTTAAAAAGTCTCGCCCGTCCTACCATTCACCACTCATGCCTCAGCTCTGGAGGGATGGCACCGCCTGCCGGCCCTGGCCAGGGAATGGGAAGGATGAAGTGTGGCTGGAGTGGGGTCAGAGGCCACTCACTGAGCTCGGAGAGCCGCATCTCGAAGGCCGGGCGCAGGAATCGGCCCCTCCGGCCAGCGGGAGTCCAGCTAAAGCCCCCACACCAGGCCTGCACCGCCCATCCGTGTCTGTTCTCCCTACTCCGGGACCCTGAGCCCCGGCCCCACTGGCCGGCAGGATGGCCTGCCCTGGTCCACCGAGGCCCTCAGTCCCTGCTCCAAGCCCAGCCCTGCCCCCACTGGCTGGCGGCCAGTGCTACCAGGAATTCCCATCAGCCTGCCCACCCAGCGTGCGGCCCTTCCCTTTTCCTCCAGAGAAAGTCCCTGTTCTGGAGCCCAAGCCCTGCTGGGAAGCTCAGTCTCAAGCCAGCCCTGGGGGACTTTAGGGCCGTGGCCAGGAGCCCTGGAGCAGAGTGAGGAGGGCCTAGCACAGAGCGGCCCTCCCTGGGAGCCCTGACAGCTCACCTTGGTTAAACCCCACACTGGTCCCTTTTCTCCCACGCGGGGACACGGCCCTGCCCCTCTCCAGGAGTCCTGTTCTAAGTCAGGGACCCCAGAGCCATGCTCTGGAAAGTCTGGTCTAAAGGGGGAGGGCAGCATTTTTTTTTTTTCCTCAAATGAACTAGGATGGACTAGAAATTCTCTTACTCCATCACATACAGGATAAATATTGTCTGGTGAGACATTTCAGGGACCTTCTTACCTAAGTACGTATGTAGTGGGTCACGATGTCAAATCTATTGCTTACTATGGGTCAGGGTCAAAAATGTGAAAACTACAGACATGGTAGGTACCCAGGGCAGGAGGGCAGCCCAGGTGGAGTTTTCCCCTCGGGCTCAGAGGTGGGAGACTCAGAATTGGGTCCCAGCTCTGTCTGTGACTTGCTGCTTGACTGTGTAGGGAGGTCCTGTTGTTTCCCAGAAACTCCCTCAACTTACGCACCTGCGAGCAAGAGCCAGGGCTGCCACGGTGCTCCAAGCTGAGGGCGGCTCTGACCTCTGAGGGGTGGGAGGGTGCAGAGGCTTTCAGAAGACCCTGGGTGACTCTCTCACTGACCCTTCCTCTGGCCTCCCAGGCCTCCAGGCCCAAGGTCAGCATCCCTCTCTCGGCCATCATCGAGGTCCGCACGACTATGCCCCTGGAGATGCCAGAAAAAGACAATACATTTGTGCTCAAGGTGAGCCCCACCCCCGGCCCCACAAATCCCCCGGCCGCCCCAGGCCACCTCCGCCTTGGGCAGCACAGCCTGAGGCTACTGCAGTGGGAGAGAGGGTGCGGAGCCTGCTGCAGGGCCCCGGGAGGGAGCTCTGGTGGTGGGGGCCCAGGACCGGCCACAGATGCCTGGCACACAGCTAGGCCTTGAACCCGGGCCTGGGGCTGTAGCACCGCAGGCTCTGGGTGTCACCCACCTTTTGGGGCCCCCCCGTTCCCATTTCCCCCTGCCCATTGAAGGTGCCCTGAGTTTCCCTTCCTTGCCTCCCTTCCCCAACTGGAACCAGCATATACCCACCCCACAGCCCGCAGCACCTATGCAAATGGCCCCGTCCCTGGGCACTGGGGCGTGGGGACCTGCCTGGTCCCACGGAGGGCACAGAGGCACCGAGGGTGGGCGGGGAGGCACCCCGCTGGGTCTGGGGGCAGCTCTTCCTTTCCCCAGGCTCCGCCTCGCCAGGGTGGCCTGCTTGGGTTGCTGAGGACATGGCTCCAGGCTGCCAGGGCTGTGGCCCTGGGCCTCCTCGAAGCATTGGGTGTTTGTGAAGCCAAGGCCCCAAGGAGGCCTGGTTCCACCCCACCCCCCCCAAAGAGGCGTGAAGCCCCCACCCTGCCTCTTCAGGCTCTTCATTGGGTTTATGTTTTACTCATCCTTGTTTATTTAGCCACGAAATTCCCTTATTCATTTAGCAAACATTTGCCAACCTCGTACCCTGAGTCACCCCAGGCCCCCGGGGGCTGAGGACATAGTCCCTCCCTGCCTGGCTTTCTTGTATGCTGGGTGAGGCAGGCCCAGAGCCTCGCTCCCGACAGCCGGCTGGCCACCGTGCTGCCCACGGTACCCAGGAGCCCCGAGGCAGAGGGGCTCACCTGCCAGCCCCACTCTGGGCCTCAGTTTCCCCATCTAGTCAGACAGGGGTGGAAGCTGGTCTCTGAGGCCCCTCCCAGCTCTGAGCTGCTGGGAGGCAGCAACTGCATTTTCACCGGGAGATACACCCGAAGCTGAGAGCCCGGGGCCTTGGCATCACGGAGATCTGGGTTCAGGTCCCAGCGCTGCCCCTGAGTGCGGGTGTAAGCAAGTCACCCGACCTCTCTGACCCTCAGTCTTCTCCTCCGTAAAGTGAGGAAAACCTACCGCCTCCTTCACAGGGCCGTTGGGAAGAGGTCATCAGATATGGGCAGGGTGACGCTCTGGGCACTGCCTCTCCCAGTGGCATGGGGCACAGAGGTAGAGTTCTAGGCACTAAGGTGTGGGGAGCCCCTCAGCTCCGTGTGCTAGGCCAGCCGGCCCTTCTTGGACTTGAGGGTTGTGATGCTCTTTCACCCAATCTCCGGGGTGCCAGGTCAGCGTGGCTTGCTCAGAGGTTGCATCTCCAGGGCCCGAGGACCTGAGCTCAGTGGGGCTGGATATCATCCCCAGCGATCCCCACTGCTGGGCCCAGGAGGGAGGGGCTGCTGAAAGGGCGGCCAAGGCTCTGTCCTGGGGACTCTGGCCTGGGCTTGGGGTGGTGCCCGATGGTGACCACACTGTCTTCCCTGCTGCCCACACCAGTGAGCCCCCGTGGCGGAGGGGTGGGATGAGCCATTTGCCCTGGAGTCTGCAGCCCTGTACTGAGGGCTGGACTCCCGGCCACCCCCTCCCCAGGTCGAGAACGGAGCTGAGTATATCCTGGAGACCATTGACTCACTGCAGAAGCACTCATGGGTGGCTGATATCCAGGGCTGCGTGGACCCCGGGTGAGTGCCCAGGTGGCCCCAGGATGGGTGGATGAGGTGGGGGCCCGGCCGGGTAGTGCCCCGTGGTCCCCCCCCCCACTTACAGGGTGAGGTTTCTGGTGAGGGAGGGAGCTGAGCTTGGGAGATGGGTTTTCTCATGGCAGCCCTGGCCAGGCTCATCCGGACCCCCAGCCCCAATAGGCTCTTTGGGGCCTGCTCCACAGGGCCAGGGCCTAGGGAGCTGGAAGAAAGTCGGACTGGGACTTGTCCTTACTCCAGGGGAATCTGAGAGCACTAGGACATGGGCAGTGGCGGGGCGAGCGCAAAGGGCCAGAGGTGGCAGAACAGAGGCAAGGCCCCGAATCCGGCCCTGGGGCTCAGAGAAGGTATACTGGTAGAAGTACTCCTCTCCTCCTCCGAGACTTAAAGGAAGAGCGGGCCTGAGCCAGGCAGAGGGGACTGCCCAGCCAAAGATGGGAGGGGCGCAAGGGCCTGGGACTTGCAGGGGATGTCCAGGCCTTTGGTCAGCCAGGCGTAGAGCTGAAGTGGGGGGCTGTGATGAGAGCCTAGGAAGCTGGTAGGTCGGAGGCAATGGGGAGCCATGGCTAGTAATAAGCAGAGGGCAGTACCAGGCAGCTGTGTGAGGAGGAGCAGCGGGGAGCCTGGCTTCATGATCCAGGAGCGATCCCGAGGCCGGGAGTGGGAGGGGCAGGCCGGCCAACAGCCGAGCATTTGGCTCTTCTGGCTAATGGGGTGAGCCAGGCCCTGGGGGGAGGGGCTGCTGCTTTCTAATTAACAGCTTCATTTGAGGAAGCGCAATTAAAGGCCTGAGTGCCTTCCAGGCCCCCCTTCCCTGCCCCATCCCCCAAATGGCTGTGCTCCGTCCTCTGTCACCGCCCCCCAGCCATCTACTGTGCAAATTCTTCCCCCAGCCCCTGTGAAGGTGAACCTCACTTTGCAGTCTTTTGGAACTGGCTGGGTCCCAGACACCTCATGTCGCAGACAGGGAGGCAAAGGCCGTGGCAGGGAAGGGAGCTGCCCTGCCATCATTTGAGGGACACCCCCTGGGGTCCCAGGAGGAGGCCAGCCCCTCGTGGGTCAGTGGGAAGGGCTCATGTGGCCTCAAGGAGGACTGCACCCACTCGGAGACCTCTCCTTATGGCCCAGGCATGTCCCTGGTGGCCACAGAGCAAGCTGATGGCTTGGGACGGAGGGACATGGAGGCAGAGGGACCCAGGCGAGCAGGAGAGGGCTGCTGCTGGCCATGGGGACTGTCGGCCGTCATTGGGGTTCCGTGAGCAGCCCGTGCTTGGGGTCTGAGTCCCATGGTGGGACACGGTTGTGCCTTCCTGCCTTCGCAGGGACAGTGAGGAAGATGCCGAGCTGTCCTGCACCCGGGGAGGCTGCCTGGCCAGCCGAGTGGCCTCCTGCAGCTGTGAGCTGCTGACAGACGGTAGGTGGGGGCGGGGCTGGCCAGGGGGAGTGGAGGGCAGGGTTAGCGGGGTTGCTGGTGCCCGGATGGTCCAACAGACCCATGCGCTTCCCCCCCCCCCGCCTCTTCTCCAGCAGGGGACCTGCCCCGGCCCGCAGAGACAACAGCAGCCGTGGTGACAGCGCCACACAGCAGAGCCCGCGATGGCGTTGGGGAGTCCCTGGTCCATGTCCCGCTGGAGACCTTCCTGGAGACACTGGAGTCCTCGGGTGGCGGCGGCAGGGACAGCAATAATACAGGTGTGTGCACAGTCTTCTCTCCCTGGGCCTCCTTCCTGCCCCCCCACACCCCTCCCCGAGGCCACAGGGGCCCTCCTGAGCCTCAGAAGCCATGATGTTCCATCCCAACAGGAACACTGCACGGCAGCTCAGTGGTTCTGGCTTTTGTGAGCGAGTCCGGGAAGGTGATCCCTCCCACAGGCCCTCAAGTCCATGGAAAAGGAAGGAGTGGAGTGTCAAGGGTTGGAACCAGGGGCTGGGGACAAGGAGACTTGACTTGTTCCCCGGTTTCCTGCTGACTTATAGAGTGACTCCAGGACAGTCGGTCTCCCTGTGCCTCAGTTTACCTGATACACTGAACTAGTGAGTTGGGTTGGTTCCCTGACTCCTTCTAAGAATATTCAAACAGCAGTTTATGCAAATACCCAAGAAGCTGTGGCATGTCTTCTCTCGTTTACTCACCCCTTCCGCTCCCTCCCCCACACCCCTCACACTGCCCTCCCTTTCCAGGGGAGGAGGGAGCGGAGCTGGAGCCGGAGGCTGAGCCTGAGCTGGAGCTCTCGGACTACCCCTGGTTCCACGGGACGTTGTCACGGGTCAGGGCAGCTCAGCTGGTGCTAGCAGGCGGGCCCCGGAGCCACGGCCTCTTCGTGATCCGCCAGAGTGAGACTCGGCCTGGGGAGTACGTGCTGACCTTCAACTTCCAGGGCAAGGCCAAGGCAAGTCAGCCGGGGCATTGAGGGGGTCGGGGAGGTGGCAGTGGGGGGGAGGCGGGGCACACGGGGGCAGTGTGGCCAGCCCCGAGGGACGGGTAATGAGGTGGTCCTGGTCCTGAGGTTGCACCTGTGCTCCAGGAGCAGGCATGACTTCCCACAGGCGTGCCCTCACCCCACCTGCATCCCCCCACACACCTCCCTGAGGGGTGTAGTCAGACCCAGATGTGGCTTCTTAATTATCCAGATGGGGAAGTCACCCACTGGTGGCTGAGCCCACAGGAAGCCGGGCCCTTCTGAGGGTTTCACTTTGACCCTATGCACTGGGGATCGCTTACCACTAAGGCTTCTGAGGGTCTCTGCCCACAGCCATGCTGGTGCAGGGCCAAGGTCAACCAAGGCTCTCCTGCTCCACCCACATGCAGCTAGCCTGTCTCCTTCCCTGCTCAGGTCAGTTCGCCAACCCCTCCTGAGCCCCAGCTCTGAGCTAGGCCCATGGCAGCCCCAGGGTCACAGAACCACACACAGGCGGGCCTCAAGAGCTGGGCAGGAGAGGAGGAAGCAGACTGGGCCCCAGGGCCGCCATGCAGGGTCTGCAGGGGAAGGGGTTCTCCTGACCCCACCAGCCAGAACAAGGGGTCGGTGACCTGAGGTGTGCAGTGGATGGAGAATCCTCGAGGTGAAGAAGGGAGATCCAGACAGGGCACAGCAAGGGGGTAGCAGTGTGCCCAGATGGGGGGCTCTCGAGGAAGGACACTGTGTGCTAATAATAATAAGGTGCAAAGGAAAATATGACAGAAAAGTTAACGAGGTTGGGGTGGGGGGGTTGTGGTTACCATGAGACCAGAATGGGCGAGAACCTCAACCCCGCTCCCCCCACCATCCCAAATTTCCGATAAGGCAACAGACCCGGCCCCGGCTCCTCCCAGGACACCGTTACGGTCCGTCCCTGCTGGAGGAGGGGGCACCCCAGGACTCCTGCTCCAGCCCTGCTCTGGTGGTCAGTGTCCCAACCCCCGGCTGGCCTGGCACAGGCCCTCCCCTGGCTCCCTGGGCATCTCTCCTTGGCAGCGGTGGCCCCAGCATGGAAGAGGCAGCACCTCCCCTGGGGTACCTCCTTGGAAAGCAGCTGCCCTTACCAGTTCCTCTGGCAACGGGGCGCGTAGCGCTGTCCCTGGCAGCCCGAAGTTTCCTTCTGGGCCAGCACCGCCTCATGTGGCCTCCCGGGAGCGCCTGGATCTGACTCGTGCCCAAGCCAGAGGCTACGATGGTGCCCAGCCCTCTATGGGGGTATGGTGGGGTGGGGGAGTGGGGGGTGGTGAAGCAGGGTGGGAGGCTCCACTCCTTCCTAGGGCATGACCCAGCCTTGAACTCACCCCAGCTGCTGCCCTCTCAGAGCTGGGTGACTATCCAGGGTTTGACAAGTTAGTCGTGGGGTAGAGCAGGACCTCCAGCCTACTGCGTGCACACCCCCTAGGCAGCTCTTTTCACCTTCGGATAATAAAAGTCTGGAAGGTTTTCCTGAAAATTGAGTTGCACCTTCCCCCTGAGCCCCAAGTCTGCCTAGGCCTATGCCCTCAAAGGCCCTACCCAGACTTGATGCTGTGGTAGGACCCCACTAGGCTGTTCCTCTCCAGTTGAGCCCCTGCCCGGGGCTGCCAGGAATGCTCCCTGGGTTCGCCACACTGTTCTGGCAATTTCTGGCCCTGCTGAGTGGCAGAACTCACTCATGGGACTACCTTCCACCCCCAGGGCTTCTCTGTCCTTTATGCAGGGGGCCAGGCCAGCTTCCCCCCAGAGACAGCTACTCTTCCTCCTGCAGGACACACATTGAGCAAAATAGGGCTGAAGCCAGAGACCTGTGGCTCACCACAAGAGACCACAGGCTTGTGGCTCCTCTCCCTGTGGCACTTGTCACATGCGGGCCCTGGAGACCCACGGAGGAACCAGCCCTGTTCCCTGTGCTCCAGGTGCTCCCACTGCAGCACCATTAAGAAGGACAGGTGGTCACTCCTCCCCAGCTAGACTCAGGGTCTTTTCTGCCCCCCGGGGCCCCGGGCTTTGGCTCTGCAGGAACAGCAGGCAGACTCCTAGCCTGCCAGGGTGGGAGAATCACACAAATGAGTTTTCTTCCTAGCTCTGTGACCGTGGGTGACTCCCTCCCTCCCTATGCCTCCGTTTCCCCATCGCTAACATGGGGACTACAATCTCTACCTTCTGGGGCTATTGGAGACTAGAGATGGGGGCGCAAAGGGCATGATGCGTGCGCTCCTAGCATGGGGACTAAATTCACGGCTCCCTTCAGTCCCCAGCCTGGCTGTTACCCTCCTTCCCCGTCCTCACCACCGGAGTGACCCCCTAAGAGGCGGCTCAATGTGTGAGGTGCCCCCGCTCTGACACAGCCCCATATGGTCTCTGTGAGACTCGGTAATGACCCTCAAAGGCGTTTGCAAAGCAGTTGGCTAGCCCAGGCCCCCACCACTGACCACACCCTCCTGTGCCCACAGCACCTGCGCCTGTCCTTGAATAGCCACGGGCAGTGCCACGTACAGCACCTGTGGTTCCAGTCCGTGCTTGACATGCTGCGCCACTTCCACACCCACCCGATCCCACTGGAGTCCGGGGGCTCTGCAGATATCACCCTCCGCAGCTATGTGCGGGCCCAGGGCCCCCCACCCGGTAAGATTTCTCCCAGTTGGCCTATGTGATGGCTCAAGCGGACAAGTGGGCCGTAGGGGGAGGGCGTCACCCACAGGCTGCTCCCCAGCACCGCTAGCCGCCCCCCCGTGGGATGAACACCAGGTCTTGGGCAGTTGTAAGCAATCCGGGCCATCAGGGTTGGAGGGAGGGTGGCAGCGCAGGGACCAGGTCCGGGTCCTGAGTGACTGGGGGCAGGCGGGAAGGTGGTCGCTCAGAGGCAGCGCTGAGGGATTCCCTAGACCCCCTGCAAAGCTGGGGCTCAGCGCAGAGCTGCTGAAGGAAGTGCTGGGGGGGCGGGGAAGGGTGTCGGGCACATGTGGGTTTGTGTGTGCCCTGTCGCCCGTCCCCGTGACATTAGGT